TCACCCCCCCGTCAGTCCCCACTCAATTAGTCTTAGTAATTTTATTTCTTAAAGTATTTTAAAAGTATTTTAGCTTCTGTGAATTTAAGAGTACCACCCACAACCGGCGACTATGACCAAAAATAACTGTGACAAAATCTTATCCTTACCTATGAGTGGTGAGCATCTTGGATTTCTAGTTGGCCGTTTGACATTATTTTGCCATATGTGTGTTCAAGTAGCTGCTGTTTCCTATTTGGAATGTCTCAGTATAGAGTTATTTGGTCTTCTAAGCAAAACCGATCTGGTACGGGAAAATGTGAACCATACTCATTGATTGTTTGTTTTATTTGTAATACACTAAAGATAAGCATGAGAGAGGTGACCTGCTGAGCAGTTTTTGGTTAAAGTCTGCAGTTTTGGGGGTGTGGACCAGATCTGGGTCTGTGTTTGCAGCTGGCTAGCGTGTCTGGCTCAACAAGGCAGGGTTCTGGAGTCCCAAGATGGCAGGGAAAACTGGCTCAGAGGCAAATTCAGCACATCAGGTGACAGTCCCAAGGGGATCTCTGTGACTGAACCTATCACACTGGTAACATAGGGCTCTTCATTGGTCAGCAGCCCCTTCAGGATGCTGGTGTTCAGGTTAAACAGCTTCCTTTCCACTTCAGTTATTCTGCTGGTGTCTCCCCTCCCCCCCCCATCATTTTTAGTTTATCCTCTAAAGTCACATTTTTGCTCTTTTAATGTGGTTGTCTTTTGAGGTGGGCATGACGGTGCTACAAATACTTGTTCATTGTAAAGCTCTGTGGGATCTTTTCTGGTGCCAAATACTATATAAATGTAAAATATTATTTACTATATATACAAACTTGGTGTGAAGAGAAAGTAACCACTGAACAAGGTTATTGTTGTATCATATAACAAGTATGTTCTTTATAAAGCAATGAGAGTGGTGTCAAAGTATTTAAAGTAAAAGTGCCTCCCCAAATGTATTTATTGGAAGTAAACCCTGAATTCCTTTTGCAGCCTTCTATTTTTTTACTGTGCTATTTGAAGATCTTATTTCCTTCACTGAAAAATAGCTTTAGGTAGGATTCTGAAATTGAGACTAAACCTAGAGAAATATGTTTGGGATCTTGAGGGAATCCAAGCAGTTTGGAGAGACTTGTGGGGATTGGAATGAGAAATGCATGGTGACAGTTTGTGAAAGTATTAGATGGCTGAAGAAGCAGTGTCTGGAAGATCCTGGTAGAGTTTAGACTAGGTTCCGAGGTCAGTGCCAAATCAGGGCTAAGTTTCAGATCTGATGGTACAGAAATCTTGAGCTGTTCTAGAGATGGTGAAAATCTTATAAGATGAGCTGTTCTCCAGAGATTGGTGCTATTTTGAGAGGACATTGTATGAGAGTGGCTTTTCTGAGGAGATTTTCGCTGCACCTGAATTGCAAAATAAGTCCCTTCCAGTTTTGGATCCAGCCTATAACCAAAACCAGAATGTCAGATTCAGATCTGAACACCTCCCCACGCACTGAAACTTGAAATGCGGTTTGAGTTCAAGATGTTTGTTTTGGCCCATCTAGTTAACATTTTATTAATGATGTGGGGAAATCGTACTTAAATCATATCTTTAATCAAATTGAAAGTTGGCCCAAGAAAGAGTAAAAAATTGAGCGGGGTAAACATGAAAGCTGGTAGTGTTTCCCTTTTTATACATTTCTTTACTTTCTTTCTCTTGTTTTTTAATTGATTTCTGTGCTTTATGTTGTTGCCTTCATGATTGTTCCCTAGTGGAAAATCATGGGCTCCAGGACATGCAGGCTTCTGCAGAGAAGATAACTGCACCTGATTAGTAGGCAGCCTGATAGGTTAATTAAAAAGTAGTGATCCTGCACTTGTTCACCTCCACCAACTGCTTTTATCTGTACAAGAAAAAAAATCTCATTCCCAATATTGGAGAGAGCAGAGTTGAAAGTGAATATTAAAAAGTTCTTGTATTTGTATGTAAGAATGTGATATGGAATCCTTTCTATAGTATCAGCTTTGTTTTTCTGTAGCACTTGCTGTATTAGCCAGGGCTGACATTTGCTTTGTCAGTATAAATGTAGACTTATTTATTTAAGCAGGGTATTTTAGAATATGCATTGGTAATATGTGGAGACCTATAAGAGATAATATTTTTGGAAATGTTTTAAATATAATTTTGCCTCTAATTTTTTAGACCAAAATATTTTGCCTGTGTTAAAGTTGTTGCATTTTGATGGTATAAGACTCTTTAGAATCTAAATGTATAGTAGTTCCTTTGAACTCTTCCTGTTTTTCAAAGAAACTAACAAAGAAAAGCCATGTTATAGTAGAACTGAGAAAACACAGTATTTGTGCCATGTCTGCAATAGAGGATAACTACAGTAATAGATGTTCTAAGAACTGTAGTCACAGTTAGAGTCCTGGACGGATACAAAAATGTATATCTGCAGCCGATCCGCAAAAATTGTCCGCAGATGTAGATATCTGCAGCTATCCACGGATTTGCGGGGCTCTACTTACCCTGTCCGGGCTGCGGCTCCGAGGCAGCCCCTGCTGGAGCATGGTCAGGGAGAGCTGCGTGAGCAGCTGTGGGGAGCCTGCACGGAGTAACGGACCCTACACCTGCCCTCAGCCGGGCAGGGAGCCTGGGAGGCAGGGACATGGCCGTGGGCTGTTCTCAGCCCCCACTCCCACTGCTCAGGCCCCCCGCCCAGGGCACGTGGAGGGAACCAGGCTCCCCACAGCTGTCAGCATGGTGCTCCGGTGGGGGGAGGGAGCGGCTCGGAGCCGTAGCCCAGCCACGGTGAGAGCCAGGCGGGCAGCTGTGGGGAATCTGGGTCCCTCCACCTGTCCTAGGCTGGGAGCCCACCCAGTTTCCCCACCCCTCAGGCTCTCCCACCAAGGGCAGGTAGAGGGACCCAGGCTCCCCACTGCTGCCAGCTGTCTCTCTCTGACCCGGCTCGGGCGGGGGCAGCTTGGAGCCGCAGCCTGGCCATGGTAAGAGCCGGCTGGGCAGTGTGGGGAGCCACGGCGGACCCTGCACCTGCCCTGGGTGAGAGGTCTGAACAGCCCCCAGCCCATGTCCCAGTCCCCTGCCCAGGGCAGGTGGAGGGTCTGCACCGCAGTTCCTCACAGCGGCTGCATGGCTCTTACTGACAGAGCTCTGCGCAGATACAAAATTTGTATCCGCATCCACGATGCTATCCGCAAAAATGGTCCACGGATATAAAGCTGATACCCGCAGATTTGCAGGGCTCTAGTCACAGTTATCAGTGTCAGAGGAATTTAAATTTACTATGAGATTGAGAGATAATTGCAGCAAGGATCATGTCTGTATTACTGCTCAGCTCTCCCATAATGCTTCCCTCTTGTCCCTAGAAGAAGCAGATCTAGAGATAACTGACATGATTGTCCTACATTCCTGGATTACTGGTGGAGTACAGATGTGATCTGCCGCTGCTGAGTATGTTATGTAGGAGGAGGGGGAGAAGTCTGTATCTTCTTTCCTGTCCTGTCCTAAGTATCTTTTGCCCCTATACTATAGCTACAGGAGAATGCAATTGATTCTCCTGCCTCTAGTACTCTGCAAGTGGTTTGCCAGCAACAATGTGACCGAGGGTCATGTCTATTTCACTGTGCTGCTGCTCATGATGATGCCTCTGAGAAATAGCTCTGGGCATGAACAGCAGCTCAGGTGTAGTCAAGGTTGGAAATGGATAGGTTTTTGAGGGGAGGTTGGATAAAAAGCAGATAATCTCTCCCTCCTACTCCCTTTTTTTGTTTTTGTTTAGCAGCTTGTTTTACTCTTCTTCCCCCTTATTCTTCCCAAAGAGTTCTTCCTGTAGCAGTGCTGGATCACATCTGTACTGTTTCCACACATACCTTGTCTCCATGCTACTATACACATTTGTTCCACTTACCCTAGAACTATTAGCGGTAATGGAGCCCCTCATCAGCGAAGAACATATACCATTCTCCACAGTTGCATCCAAATCCTTTTAGGGTGTTGTTTTCTCATGGAATTACATAGGGACACCAAAGCTTTATAATGCACAAAAGTATAACTTTTTCACCATTTTTATGTCCTGTTAAAAGTGCAGCAAACTCAGGAGCATCTGCCTTAAAGCTGCATGAGTTTTACTTTTCTTTGGATGAAATAAACTCTACCCTAAGCATTGTCTTAGTGTTAGTGACCTTCCCCCCACCCCCCTAAGATCCTACAGCTGCCAGGTGTGGGGTCTCAGGTTTGTAGATTGTATGGCCGGAAGGGACCATTATGATCATCTTGTCTGACCCTGTGTGCAACACAGACCTTAGAACTTCCCCCAAATAATTCCTAGAGCATA